ACTTGCACCGCTTTTTTCCCTGTGGCGGCCCGGCCGAGCGGCGCAGAAGTCAGCCGAGCGTCACAGCAGGAGGCGAAGGACGTGACTCAGGCAACAGCGTCACCCAGAGGGAACAGCCAGCATTTCAGTGTTACAGAGTCACGGCCTCCTGGTAGTCTGTCCATGTGTTCGCATCTGTGATGGAGTGTACCAACCCCACCCTGGTCCTGCAAGGGTTAATCAGGGCGGCCCCCACAGCCCTGCTCCAGTGGGAGGACAGATAAAAAGGCCAGAGGAGCAGCTCAGTTGGAGCTGACCGCCACGGAGGAAGGGAGGTGCTGCCAGAGCTGTGGAGCAAGAGCTGTGGAGCGACCGAACCGGGGAGGCCAGGCAGCAGGGAAGAGGAAAGTGGTGAAGAAGGCGGATGTGTGGGAGTCTCGTAGGAAGTAGCCCAGGGTGGGGAGTTAGATCCCTGAGAGTTTGGCATGTTTCGGGCGGATTCCCTGCTGAGCTAATAGTGGGACACACTCACCAATGACAAGACCCAGGGCTGGGACCTGGTGGAGCAGATGGGCCTGGGTCCCCCAATCCCACCCCCATTAACCCCCAAGGGGGAGGCTATAAGTGTCACTACTGACTCTGGCCGCTGGACCTTGGCTGCAGCCGGGAGTTGGGGGTGAAGGAGGGGGCTCCGGATCTGGCTGGGGAGTGTGGGCTCTGGAGTGGAGCTGGGGATGAGGGATTTGAGGTGCAATGAGGAGACTGTGTGGGGGGGCAATGGGCTCAGAGTGCAGAAGAATGCCTGGAGCTAAGGCAGGGGATTGTGGGGTGGGAGAGGGGTCTGGGCCTTGGGATGAGCGTGTGAGCTGTGGGGTGGGGCCAGACATGAGGGGTTTAGTGGGTGGGAGGGGCTCTGGTCTGGGGCAGGGGGTTGGGATTCAGGAGAGGGGGAGATGTGCAGGCTCCAGGTGGTGCTGCCCTCAGGCGACTCCCAGGAAGTGGTGTCACATCCCTCCGGCTCCTAGTCAGAGGGCTGGGACGGGGGCTCTGTGTGCTGCTCCCCATCAGCAGGCACCACTTGCATTGGCTACGTTTCCCAGCTAGTGGGAGCTGTGAAGTTGGCATTCAGGGCAGAGGCAGCTCACAGAGTCCCAAAATGCGAAGTGCATTTTGCGTAGCTTTTTCTGAAAGAACAAGGGGCAGTGTAGACATAGCCTGAGGCTCTAGGCTTTATGTCCCATCTACAGCCCCAGGTTGGTGAACTGGGCCAGGATTCTGCAGGGTGATGGAGCTGGGAGCGTGGGAGTGGCTGCTTGTGGCCTAGGACGATGGGCTGAGGGGACCCATCTCTGGAGCTGGGAGCTGAGCATCAGGGAGCTGAGGGAGGGGAGCTGAAATTTCCCCCATCTGGGATCCATGGGTCCTCCCCCAGAGACAGCTTTGCTGGAGCCTGTCCAAAGGGCAGAGGCCCCTTTGTGGAGAGATGCTGGGAGACCAAGGTAACTGGAAGCAGTGAGGCCTGGGCCTGACCTTTGATCAGTCTCTCCCACATCTCTCCAGTGGCCCCAGCTCCACAGGACACCCCTCTTGCTGTGAGCAGCAGCTCCTGGGTAGCTATGGGGTGGGGGGGTTTCTTGGCTGGGGGGATGCAGCACAGAGAGAACGGAGACATAGGGATGCTTGGAAGCTTTATTGTTAGAGCAGGGAAGGGGGTGGGGAGCCAGGGATCTTGGGTTCTGTTCCCAGCTCACAGAAGGCAGTGGGGTTCAGTAGTTACAGCTGTGGACCAAGGGGGCTGGGCCTCAGTGTCTGCTTTTGTGGCCTGGGGCTACTACTCTGACTAGCTTTGGGGAGGAAGCTCTATAGAAGGACCAGCATTACTACAGCCCCCTCCCTCAGAGCAGGGAAGGGGGTGGGGAGCCAGGGATCTTGGGTTCTGTTCCCAGCTCACAGAAGGCAGTGGGGTTCAGTAGTTACAGCTGTGGACCAAGGGGGCTGGGCCTCAGTGTCTGCTTTTGTGGCCTGGGGCTACTACTCTGACTAGCTTTGGGGAGGAAGCTCTATAGAAGGACCAGCATTACTACAGCCCCCTCCCTCGGAGGGATGCTTCTGCTCCATCAGCTCCTGGCAAGAGCAGCTGAGCCCAGCCGTCCGGCCTCCCAACTGCGCTGGCTCCCTTCAGCTGGGCAGAGACTGACTCCAGCCCTGGGCGGGTGGGTGTGGACCCAGGATGCCGGGGAAGGAAGAGGGGGTGTTGTACCTACTCTCGCGGAAGGAATGACTCAGAGGGCAAGGAACCAAGCAAAGCAAGCAGAGCCCAGTGTGGCAGAGATGTGTCAAGTGCCTACCCCTTTGTGGGGTGTTAGCTGAAGAAACTGTCTGGGGGAAGGAATCCGATGTCATCCAAGCACTCATTGGTGTCTATGTCCCCTGTGCATTTTATGCAGCTCTCAGGTTGGTCAAAGGAGCAGCGGAACAGGGGCATGGGGATCTGGCGCCAGGCCTCCCACAGTTTGATCTGGCCCTTGGGCTGATCCTCCTTGTAGACATGCTCAAAAGCAAAGGCTTGGAAACGGGGGTCGTAGCCCTGCAAGCTGTCCTGCAGGTCTGTCAGGATGTATGTGTCGCTCTCAGGGTTCAGGCAATAGTCCAGGCAGGGTGAGATCAGGGAGAAAAAGATGAAGCAACTATTGTCGGGTGGATATGTCTGTTTTCTGTTATCAAGGAACACCTTTAGGAAGTTGTAGACCCAGCTCTTTCGCTTTTTTTTATCTGTCTCCATGGTGCCCACCAGCACGGCCTCGGCGTGCCAGCCCTTATGCTCATCCCTCTTCACAGTAGCCACCAGGAAATGGTCTGTGTAGACGTATGGTTCTTTATCTAGACGGTCTTCTTCCCAGATCTTGAGCAGCTTGTCCTCAATAGTGGCACCTTCCTGCTCTGCAGTGGTGGATTTCTCGCAGGCCTCACGGGACAGCAGCATGGCAATTGCAAACTGGTCGTAGGCACTCATGCCCCTGGAGCCAAAGCCAGACAAAATTTGGAGATGGGAGAATACATCACCGGCTCACCGGCACCACGACTGCTCTGACAGTCCCAACCATGCCTGCCCCAGGCACCTGCCAACCAATAGTGTAGACATACCCTATGGCAGCTGCCAGACAGCCCCTCTCCTCTCCTCTGGGCACTTGCCAGTCAATGCCTCCCATGGGAACTTGCCAACCAACCCTTCTCAGGGCACCTACCAGCCACCCCCCAATATCTGGGACACCTGGGAGCCATGAAAGCAGCAAGTACAGAACTGAGGTTGGGTTGGGTTGGAGAGAGGTTAGAGACGACAGCACCAGGGCACTAAAAGTAAAGGCTGCACCCTCCTCCTCCCTGGGCATGATTTTATTTTCCCCCACATGGTTCATAGGAGTCATCTTGTCCATTGGCACCCCAAATTGCTGGTCCCCTTTCCTCTGCCCTATTCCCTGCTGGCTCTGGTGTGTAGCCCAGCTTGTGGGCCCTGCCCAGGAGCAGCCTGATTTGTTTGTCTGCCCAGCACCTGGTCCCATGTGAATTGGATGGTCTCTTGGGGTATGTCTACACTACCCCGCTAGTTCGAACTAGGAGAGTAATGTAGGCATACCGCACTTGCTAATGAAGCCCGGGAAATTCAAATCCCGGGCTTCATTAGCATAAGCGGGGAGCCATCATTTTTAAATCCCCGCTGCTTCGAGCCCCGTGTAGCCGCGCTGCACGGGGCTCGAAGCAGCGGGGATTTAAAAATGGCGGCTCCCCGCTTATGCTAATGAAGCCCGGGAAATTCAAATCCCGGGCTTCATTAGCATAAGCGGGGAGCCATCATTTTTAAATCCCCGCTGCTTCGAGCCCCGTGTAGCCGCGCTGCACGGGGCTCGAAGCAGCGGGGATTTAAAAATGGCGGCTCCCCGCTTATGCTAATGAAGCCCGGGAAATTCAAATCCCGGGCTTCATTAGCATAAGCGGGGAGCCATCATTTTTAAATCCCCGCTGCTTCGAGCCCCGTGTAGCCGCGCTGCACGGGGCTCGAAGCAGCGGGGATTTAAAAATGGCGGCTCCCCGCTTATGCTAATGAAGCCCGGGAAATTCAAATCCCGGGCTTCATTAGCATAAGCGGGGAGCCATCATTTTTAAATCCCCGCTGCTTCGAGCCCCGTGTAGCCGCGCTGCACGGGGCTCGAAGCAGCGGGGATTTAAAAATGGCGGCTCCCCGCTTATGCTAATGAAGCCCGGGAAATTCAAATCCCGGGCTTCATTAGCATAAGCGGGGAGCCATCATTTTTAAATCCCCGCTGCTTCGAGCCCCGTGTAGCCGCGCTGCACGGGGCTCGAAGCAGCGGGGATTTAAAAATGGCGGCTCCCCGCTTATGCTAATGAAGCCCGGGAAATTCAAATCCCGGGCTTCATTAGCATAAGCGGGGAGCCATCATTTTTAAATCCCCGCTGCTTCGAGCCCCGTGTAGCCGCGCTGCACGGGGCTCGAAGCAGCGGGGATTTAAAAATGGCGGCTCCCCGCTTATGCTAATGAAGCCCGGGAAATTCAAATCCCGGGCTTCATTAGCATAAGCGGGGAGCCATCATTTTTAAATCCCCGCTGCTTCGAGCCCCGTGTAGCCGCGCTGCACGGGGCTCGAAGCAGCGGGGATTTAAAAATGGCGGCTCCCCGCTTATGCTAATGAAGCCCGGGAAATTCAAATCCCGGGCTTCATTAGCATAAGCGGGGAGCCATCATTTTTAAATCCCCGCTGCTTCGAGCCCCGTGTAGCCGCGCTGCACGGGGCTCGAAGCAGCGGGGATTTAAAAATGGCGGCTCCCCGCTTATGCTAATGAAGCCCGGGAAATTCAAATCCCGGGCTTCATTAGCATAAGCGGGGAGCCATCATTTTTAAATCCCCGCTGCTTCGAGCCCCGTGTAGCCGCGCTGCACGGGGCTCGAAGCAGCGGGGATTTAAAAATGGCGGCTCCCCGCTTATGCTAATGAAGCCCGGGAAATTCAAATCCCGGGCTTCATTAGCATAAGCGGGGAGCCATCATTTTTAAATCCCCGCTGCTTCGAGCCCCGTGTAGCCGCGCTGCACGGGGCTCGAAGCAGCGGGGATTTAAAAATGGCGGCTCCCCGCTTATGCTAATGAAGCCCGGGAAATTCAAATCCCGGGCTTCATTAGCATAAGCGGGGAGCCATCATTTTTAAATCCCCGCTGCTTCGAGCCCCGTGTAGCCGCGCTGCACGGGGCTCGAAGCAGCGGGGATTTAAAAATGGCGGCTCCCCGCTTATGCTAATGAAGCCCGGGAAATTCAAATCCCGGGCTTCATTAGCAAGTGCGGTATGCCTACATTACTCTCCTAGTTCGAACTAGCGGGGTAGTGTAGACATACCCTTGGTCTGCCCCTGCAGAGGGATTCAGAGGCCCCCTCACCCTGCCGGAACAAGCCCAGTCCAGCCAGTCACTCACCTCTTGACATGCCTGAGAATCTGAACCAGAGCTTCTTCATTGATGTTTGTGGGCAGCAGGCTGTTGTCCTGGATGCCCCAGACTGGCTGGGTGCCCCATCCCAGCAGGATGGTGGTGCCCAGCACCAGCAGTGACAGGCTGACTCTGGGGTGCTGCAGGGACAAAGTAGAACATGGGTAGGGGGACACAAAGGAGGGACTGCTTTGTGTCAGGGTTCACCCCACCTTCCAGACTTGGGGTCAGCTGCTGCAGCTCACGGGCTGACCCAGGGATAGCCACAGGTAGAGACAAAGACCCTCCCCATCCCAGCTGGCTGGATTGGGTAAGAAGGGCTGCCATGGGTAGAGGGAACTCCTAGGAGTCCAGGGGTAGGTGTGGGGGAGAGAGGTTCCCCTGGAGCTCCAAGTGCAGGTGATGGGGAGGGGAAGAAGTTACTTCCACATGGCAGGGGGGATTAATCAGGGTATCACTGGGCAGGAAAAGGCAGAGGGCAGGGGTGTGTGATGCTGTATGGTTGAAATATGACTGTGTATATCATTGATATTGCCACTGTTGACAATAGAAACAAATTTTGTATCAAGTATGTCAATGGAAAAGTCAGGATTTGCTAAATATGATTATCTTATTTATGTGCAGGTGTCAGTTTTGTATCTAGTTGAAGTTCTGCATAGTGGTTATCTACATGGATAACCGATAAGTTTGTTCCATGTTGCCAGAACACTATGAATGGAAGCTTCTTGCCCATTAAGGACACAGTTCTCACAATGGGCCCTGGGGCAGTGGACCTCAGCCAGGAGCCTGTGCTGGTGCTCTAGCTCCATGTCCCTCCCTGCCATGAGGTTGACTTCCTGCTGTGTGCTGGGGGAGGGTGAGCTTTGCGGGCAGGATCCAGCTTGCAGGGGAAAGAAGCAGCTCTTCATGCTGCTGCTCCCACTCCCCTCGGCTAGGAAACAGCAGCACAGAAAACTGCTCATCTAGCGGCTTTACCCTATTCTCCCTGTGGCTGGAATCACGGCTTCTGGGAGCAGCAGGGGTCCTGGAGCCAGGTAAGTGCCCCTCACCCCCCCAGGGTTGGAGCAGCCTTTGTCCATGGTGGGTGGGGAGGGGTGGGGTAGTGGTCCCTTTTAATCAGTTATCTGGTTAAACATAGTGAAGCAGTGAAACAGGATTTTACATCCTTATCCTGCACCCAACCTCCTGGCCAAACCCCACACCCTCACCTGCACCCATTTTGTCATTATGGGCAGTTGGCTGGTGGTCCATGGAAAGGTCTGTCTTGAGAGGGGTGGGCCATGACCACATATTTGAGAACCTTTCCCCTAGAAGAAATTCATCCTGCCCACTAAGTTTTCCTGTGGATACCTTGGCATGGATACAGCCAATGGCTGCTCTCTGTGACTCAGCAAGCCATGAAGTAAGGATAGGGTTGCCAGGCATCCGGTTTTCTATGGGAAAGTCCAGTCAAAAAAGTGTCCTGGTGGCTCCAGCGGGCACTGCCAACTGGGCTGTCAAAGGTCTGGTCGGTGGTAGAGTGGGGGTCCTGGGTCTAAGGCTTGCTCCCTACCTTCTCTGGCTCCACACAGTTTCTAGAAGCAGCCACAGGTCCCTATGGCCCCTGGGCACAGGAGAGACCAGGGAGGATCTGTGTGGTACCACTGCCCTGAGTGCCAGCTCAGCAGTTCTCATTGTCTGGGAACCACAACCAATGGGAGTTGTGCAGGGACAGCACATGGCACCTCCCATATGTCTATGGCCTTCAGGGACCTGGTGGTCATTTCCTGGAAGCTGTGGTAAGTGTTGCTGGAACACCACAACCCCTCCCACACCTCAACTACCTGGTCCAGCCTGGTGTCCCCTCCATGAGCCTGTATCCCTACATATCCCCAGTCCCCTGTCCTGAGCCCCCTCCTGCATCCCAACAACCTGGTCCAGCTTGGTCTCCCGTCCCATCCCCAAGCTCCCTTCCTGAGTCTGCATCCCTACAGAGGTGTACCGGTAGTTCAAATTAGAGAGCCTAATTCGAACTACGTACGCCGTGCCACGTGTAGCCGCGGGCACGGAGTCTGCACTAACAGGGATTTAAAAATGGCGGTGCCCGGCAAGATGCAAATGAAGCTCGGGATATTTAAATCCCGGGCTTCATTTGCAACTTCGATTGCCTACATTAGCCACCCTAGTTCAAACTAGGGTGGCAGTGTAGACATACCCTGTCACTCTCACACAATGTGTGTGTCTGTCATTGTCACAAAACACCAACTGTTCTTCCCACTCTATTCCCAACCCAACCTTTTACCGCTTGCAAAGTGTGTGTATATTTGGTTTGTGACTGGTCTTGCATTTCATAACTTGCATTTCTCTCTTACACTTCAATGTAATTCTTTGAATAGCGAGTTCTAAAATGCCTACCCTGTCCTGTCTGGGGTCGTTATCCCTGTGGTAATTGCTGCTCCTGCAGGTGGCTGGCATGTCCCTGCAGCCCCTGAGAGAGGCAGAGCAGAGGGTCTCCACATGTTGACCTGGCCTGCAGACATGGCTCCTGCAGCTCCCATTGATCAGTAATGGGGAACTGTGGCCAGAAGAAGCTGTAGGCTCAGTTCCTGTGGATGAGGGGCAGCACATGGAGCCAGGGTGCCACTGCTGTACATCCCAGCTGCTGTCAGGAGTGGTGCAGGGCCAGGGGAGGAGCAAGCCTGCCTGAACCCCACTGCTCTACCACCTGGAAGCCATCTCAGCTAAATGGTGCCCAGAGCAATGGAAGAGCCTGCTTCCTAAACCCCTGTCCCAGCCCTGAACCACCGCCTGCCCCTAACCTCCTGCCCCAGACATGAATCTCTCTGCACCCAAATTCTTTCCCAGAGCTCGCCCCCTGAAACACCTCCTGGACCCTAACCCCCACCCTAGGTTAAGACCAGAACCCCTCCCAAACTCCTTAGGCCACATTTTTGACTGGACTTTCCCATAGAAAACCGGATGCCTGGCAACCCTATCCTTACTTAACCCCTCCCAAACCCCTAGCCCAGCCTGGTGTAAGTGAGTTAGGATGGAGGAAGAAGGGGGATAAGGTGAGGCCTTGGAGAAGGGATGGAGCAGGGGCAGGGCCTCAGAGAAGAGGCAGGAAGGAAGCAGGGCAAGAGGTTTTGGGTTTGAGGTAAATCTTACATTGCACTTAAATTGAAAAAGTGATCTGGTGGTTAAAAAGGTTGGGGACCACTGGTCTACACCATCCCTGGTCGATGTCTATCCAACCTGCTCTTACATAGGAATGCTTGTGCCCCCAGCTCTTGGAAGTGGATCGCTGCTCCACATGAGTAAGTTTTCCTGTTTGTCAGAAACGAAGTGTGTGGCCAGCTATAAAGGTAGAACCTACGGTGACTTCATCCACGTTGCTTAAACCCTGGGGGAGGGAGGAAGGAGAAAGTTTTGGGGCTAGGGAGAGAGGTGGGGTTATGGGGAGATTCTGGCACTCCTGTGTCCCATTGTGGGCCCACAAATATGTTTGGGCCTACAAAAGTTAATCTGGCCCCAGCTATAATGTAATGATAGAATAACCACCAGTGTGGGGGGCGTCTGCCCTGTTTCTCAGCAGTTTGGCCTGACTCTGGCATTCTCAGCTGTGATCCACTGAGGGTCGGTGACAGTGGGATTCACTGGGATTTACTTTTGGTAGGAGGAGATGGGGTGCAGGGGGATTCACCAGCTTTTCCATAGGGTACGAGGAGTCACCACAGCTTCTGTGGGGCAGGAACAGGTGGGAGGGGCAGAGGGGATTCCACCGAAGCTCTATGGGTCAGGGGAAGGGCTGGGGAGGGCAACTCACCAGGGTTTCCATGGGGCAGGAGCTGGTGGTGCTGTCGCTCACTCACTTGCTCCTTGCTCCCTACCTTCTCTGGCTCCACACAGTTTCTAGAAGCAGCCACAGGTCCCTATGGCCCCTGGGCACAGGAGAGACCAGGGAGGATCTGTGTGGTACCACTGCCCTGAGTGCCAGCTCAGCAGTTCTCATTGTCTGGGAACCACAACCAATGGGAGTTGTGCAGGGACAGCACATGGCACCTCCCATATGTCTATGGCCTTCAGGGACCTGGTGGTCATTTCCTGGAAGCTGTGGTAAGTGTTGCTGGAACACCGCAACCCCTCCCACACCTCAACTACCTGGTCCAGCCTGGTGTCCCCTCCATGAGCCTGTATCCCTACATATCCCCAGTCCCCTGTCCTGAGCCCCCTCCTGCATCCCAACAACCTGGTCCAGCTTGGTCTCCCGTCCCATCCCCAAGCTCCCTTCCTGAGTCTGCATCCCTACAGAGGTGTACCGGTAGTTCAAATTAGAGAGCCTAATTCGAACTACGTACGCCGTGCCACGTGTAGCCGCGGGCACGGAGTCTGCACTAACAGGGATTTAAAAATGGCGGTGCCCGGCAAGATGCAAATGAAGCTCGGGATATTTAAATCCCGGGCTTCATTTGCAACTTCGATTGCCTACATTAGCCACCCTAGTTCAAACTAGGGTGGCAGTGTAGACATACCCTGTCACTCTCACACAATGTGTGTGTCTGTCATTGTCACAAAACACCAACTGTTCTTCCCACTCTATTCCCAACCCAACCTTTTACCGCTTGCAAAGTGTGTGTATATTTGGTTTGTGACTGGTCTTGCATTTCATAACTTGCATTTCTCTCTTACACTTCAATGTAATTCTTTGAATAGCGAGTTCTAAAATGCCTACCCTGTCCTGTCTGGGGTCGTTATCCCTGTGGTAATTGCTGCTCCTGCAGGTGGCTGGCATGTCCCTGCAGCCCCTGAGAGAGGCAGAGCAGAGGGTCTCCACATGTTGACCTGGCCTGCAGACATGGCTCCTGCAGCTCCCATTGATCAGTAATGGGGAACTGTGGCCAGAAGAAGCTGTAGGCTCAGTTCCTGTGGATGAGGGGCAGCACATGGAGCCAGGGTGCCACTGCTGTACATCCCAGCTGCTGTCAGGAGTGGTGCAGGGCCAGGGGAGGAGCAAGCCTGCCTGAACCCCACTGCTCTACCACCTGGAAGCCATCTCAGCTAAATGGTGCCCAGAGCAATGGAAGAGCCTGCTTCCTAAACCCCTGTCCCAGCCCTGAACCACCGCCTGCCCCTAACCTCCTGCCCCAGACATGAATCTCTCTGCACCCAAATTCTTTCCCAGAGCTCGCCCCCTGAAACACCTCCTGGACCCTAACCCCCACCCTAGGTTAAGACCAGAACCCCTCCCAAACTCCTTAGGCCACATTTTTGACTGGACTTTCCCATAGAAAACCGGATGCCTGGCAACCCTATCCTTACTTAACCCCTCCCAAACCCCTAGCCCAGCCTGGTGTAAGTGAGTTAGGATGGAGGAAGAAGGGGGATAAGGTGAGGCCTTGGAGAAGGGATGGAGCAGGGGCAGGGCCTCAGAGAAGAGGCAGGAAGGAAGCAGGGCAAGAGGTTTTGGGTTTGAGGTAAATCTTACATTGCACTTAAATTGAAAAAGTGATCTGGTGGTTAAAAAGGTTGGGGACCACTGGTCTACACCATCCCTGGTCGATGTCTATCCAACCTGCTCTTACATAGGAATGCTTGTGCCCCCAGCTCTTGGAAGTGGATCGCTGCTCCACATGAGTAAGTTTTCCTGTTTGTCAGAAACGAAGTGTGTGGCCAGCTATAAAGGTAGAACCTACGGTGACTTCATCCACGTTGCTTAAACCCTGGGGGAGGGAGGAAGGAGAAAGTTTTGGGGCTAGGGAGAGAGGTGGGGTTATGGGGAGATTCTGGCACTCCTGTGTCCCATTGTGGGCCCACAAATATGTTTGGGCCTACAAAAGTTAATCTGGCCCCAGCTATAATGTAATGATAGAATAACCACCAGTGTGGGGGGCGTCTGCCCTGTTTCTCAGCAGTTTGGCCTGACTCTGGCATTCTCAGCTGTGATCCACTGAGGGTCGGTGACAGTGGGATTCACTGGGATTTACTTTTGGTAGGAGGAGATGGGGTGCAGGGGGATTCACCAGCTTTTCCATAGGGTACGAGGAGTCACCACAGCTTCTGTGGGGCAGGAACAGGTGGGAGGGGCAGAGGGGATTCCACCGAAGCTCTATGGGTCAGGGGAAGGGCTGGGGAGGGCAACTCACCAGGGTTTCCATGGGGCAGGAGCTGGTGGTGCTGTCGCTCACTCACAGATGCTCACACCGGATTCCCAGTGATGGATTCTCAGCTCCCAACCCCTCTCTTTATAGCCCCAGTCCCCACCCTCCCTTCTGGGGAGGTGTCACGTACCACTTGGCTCCTTCAGTCAATATTGACTTTTAAGAATTGGGTTTCAAACTTTTGGGCCTGCGGATCACCTGGCTCTATGCAAACCTTTCTGCAGAACTCCAGCTGCTAATGGAAACTCACTGTTAATTATGTAATTACGCCCAAGCCATTTTGCTAGT